GATCATATTCTCCTTCATTTCTTTCTCTTCAAGGTCGCAGGGTTTGTCTTGGAGAGAGTCTGGCCAGGATGGAGCTCTTCATCTTCTTCACCAACCTCTTGCAACACTTTCGTTTTACTCCTGCTCCAGGAGTTTCGGAGGATGAATTGGATCTGACTCCACGCACAGGCTTTACTCTCAACCCTTCACCTCATAAACTGTGTGCTGTTTCCTGTGACCAGTAGGGCTTGAAAATGCTGCTTAGTCCCACTGTCATCACTTCATATTCATTAAATTCAGGAGTTCTGAATCTGAGTCATTATAATGAGTTTAGCATGATATTTCATGTAGTGCAATAGGACTAAATATATACAACTTCATTAATGTCATTATCACATTCTCACAAAAAAACTTGTTGTAAATGCAAATCGTTTCAAATATATGGTGTTCTTTATATCAATTATTGTTTCTGCCGATCCTGTCATTAAATATTTAAATTGTATTCATATCGATCTCTATCTGCCTTTTTTTGTAAATACTCGGGAATTTTACTTCACTCGCGAAGTCAACTAACTCATTGATGTAAGTGTCTTAATAAACCAATAGGTGCATGACAGGAGACAATTTGCCAATGCTTGTGATATGATATTGATTCCTCTCTTTTTACAGGAGAAACTTAGCCAACAAACTATGCAGTTTTTAAGAATTTTTTTTTTTTTGAATGGCAGCAGATTTGAATGATTTGTTGAATCACCGGTCGATCGAGCAGTGTAATACCTAGTATTTCTCTACGATTCTTGACAAAAATAACTTTTAGAAATGTGAAATCATGTTCAAACTAAGCCAAGCCAGATATTAGTTTTCACTGAATAGTACTGAACACACTATTGACATCTTGTAGGGAACTAACATCCAAATGTTTAGAGGCACTCTTCTGACTGTCTTTTTTTCATAATAAAGTATTATTGAAAAAATATATGTCTGTGTATCCCGGACACGTCATATTCATCCCCAGTAAATATAGGTCTCAACTCACAATGTTACCTGAGGTAGTGTAGAAATACATGTTGTCACGTTATAAGACATAACCACAATAAACATCCATAATAAAATATAAAATTGTGCAGCAAGTCACTATCACTCATAAACAAGACTCGTAGATGAGTGAGGTGCTTCGCTTGTTCTAACAAACTTGTTGACACAATCCTATAAAATACAAAAGACACAGACACAAACTTTTGTGTTCAATGGATGGCTGACATTTTGTCTAAATTGCTATTGTTTTTATGAAAATCAAGCAAAAAGTTACCAGCAGGAAAAGGCACACGTTTTTATTGTTGTGTAGAGGCAAAATTAAACTTTTAATTTTAACAACGTACGTACTTGGTTTTGTAAAGAAATGATCGACAGAGATAAGAATGAGTGAAAGATAAAAGAGAACAACATAACAACTTCATATGAAACTTTTTATCAAGATGATCTTTAACACCATTTTATGTTAAGTCATTTGATGCATATATGATCCAGGAACATTAATCATTTCAAAATCAGGGTTAATGTTACATCTGAGCTTGTGTGTGGAAACTTGGCCATAAGTCCTTATCCTGGATCCTGTCAAATATATACTAGCAGTTAACACAATGGGAACCAGAGGAATATTTTGAAGGCTGACATCCTATCTTGTCTCATTTTAGGAGGACGTTATATAATTTTAGTAGGATACATTTTTTCCTTACTATATTGAGGAACACAGTTTTATCTCATTTTAGGATAGGAAGTTAGCTCAAGTTATTGAAGAATCATCATAACTTAGAAAAAGTTAGTAATCCTACATTTGGATGGCAAAGGCCCTTTCCTAAATGTAAAACAAGGTCAGCCTTTGTTTTTGGATTTTTTTTTGTTGGAGGTAATTAATTTCATCCTCAATGTTGATTATATATTCATGCTGAGTTCCATCAAGAAACAAAGGCAAAAATAAGACTTCAAAACAGCTAGTTATAAAATCATTACATTTTTTTCAAAACCTTACACTCAGTTGTCAAAAGTTCCCAAATCCTACAGAGTGTACAAACCAGGACTTGTCCAGGTTAAACCTCTCCTTAACCTCACTAGTCTCTGACCTCTATACCAAGCTAACTCTCTCCGTCTGATCACATGACATTTGAGATAAGAAAACTGTAAACCAATATCAAAAACAAAGACTCTCTTCTGAAGTGTGCTGATAAGAACAAAGGTTGAAACCAGCCCTACCCTTGGCAGGGCTGTTTCCCTCAGCAGCAAATATAAAAGAAATGACTCTTCAACACACAAAGCACAAAATCCAGAAGCGTTTTTTCAGTAAGCTGTCGAGGACGCTTTTTTTTTTTAAATCATGGGGATAATAGATTTTCTCCTTCAGTCTTGCAGCTCGATCTCCTTGTTTGGGGCTTTGGTGGTCCTGCTGCTCGTATTTATCGTCTCATCCTCCAGTTTTAGTTCCAAGAATGAAGGAAAGGAACCTCCAGGTCCAAAACCACTTCCCATCATCGGAAACCTGCTGCAGATTGACCTTAAAAGACCCCACCACACATTTCTGGAGGTGAGAAAATGACTGGAATAACAAGCATGTCTTTAAGGGTGATTTGTCGGATGTGCACTTCAGGTAGCAATGTCACAAAAGTTCAATCAAATTAATTTGTGTTTTTGGTTATTTAAAAAAAACTTGACATTATGCCCCGGTTTTCTTAGCTTTCCAAAACATATGGATCAGTGTTCACAGTATATTTGGGATCCAAAAAAGTGGTGGTCCTGGCTGGATATAAAACAGTGAAGGAGGCCCTTGTCAACTACGCTGAAGAGTTTGGAGACAGAGATCAAATGCAAATCACAAAGGAAACTGGTAACAGCCATGGTAAGGAAAGCAAGATTTGTTTACACAAAATATTTTCCTTGTTTGTTAAAACAGCCGATTGGGCAGTAGGCAACAATTTGACCAAATACGACGCAGCCATAAACGTTGTTGCAACCTAGTCTAATCTTGTTTAACTAAAAACATTTTTTAATCTTAGGCGTTGTATTTTCCAACGGTGAATCATGGAAAGAGATGAGGCGCTTTGCCTTGACTAACCTCAAAGACTTTGGGATGGGTAAGAGGGCTTGTGAGGACAAAATCATTGAGGAATGCACCTACCTCATTGAAGTGTTTAATAAATGCAAAGGTAAGTGTCTTATTAAAACCAACAGCATGAGAAACAACATTTTGCCAATGCTTGTGATTCCTTTTTTATGTTCCTGTAATCCTTTCTACAGGAAAAGCTTTTGATACAGCCCAACCAATGAACTGTGCAGTCTCTAATATTATCTGCTCCATTGTTTATGGCAGCAGATTTGAATATGATGATCCTGAGTTTACTTCATTGGTAGAAAGAACAAACAGGAATATTCAACTCCTGGGCTCCCCGTCGATACAGGTGCTATTTCATATGTTTATTAAGCTTACACTTTCAGATATTGATTTAATGTTCATATAAAATATAAACATTACAAATGTGTCACTTGTCTTTTGAACACTATTTCATTGCCTGTTGATTTTTAACAGGTATATAACATGTTCCCATGGATTGGTAAATGGATTGCTAACAGAAAGGAACTCCACACGATGGTTGCTGCAAACAAGGAACAGAATCGACGGCTGTTTGCACGTTTGAAAGAGACCTTGAATCCACAGATGTGCAGAGGCTTTGTGGACTCATTTCTGCTCCGAAAGCAAAATCTGGAGGTTGGAAAGAATTTTATCACTAACCCTAACAAAAAACACTGGTTGATCAACGCGTTACTGCTTTGTTTGTCTACACTCTCCATAGGCCACAAGTAGATTTATTAGTGAGAAAGATTGAGGTGCAAGCCTTTAATCAGTAGTGAAAATGTACATTGTTGGAATCAAGAAAATTATATTCTTATTTATGTACAATTGCTCTTCATCATAGATATCATAAATAGAATCCGAGATGTGTAAAAATTAAGGATGCACCGATGCAACATTTCTTGGCTGATGCCGATGTTAAGAATAACAATTTGGCCGATGCCGATGTTTTTAATGTAATTTTTTTCCACTGTTGTTATTCCACTTTGTGCCAGGAAAAACACATTTATTTCTCGCAAAATGGTTTCAGTTTCAAAGGCTGAGCAAGTTCGTTATTATAATATCATAGTACGCTGTTTAGAAAGTATGGAGCTCTACCGGATCACCTGCAGGTCTGCTCACAGTGAGGGGGCCGGTGAACAGAGCAAAACACACGTTTAGATTTAGACATCACACTTAGCTATTTCATCTACCTCTGAATCTACCTAAACTATTAAAAATAAATATAAATATATTTATTCCTCACTGTCGGATCACTCATTACTGGATCAGAGCTGCATGAGACAGATACGGACCGGCTGTCAGGGGAGAGAGGAGAAGAGAGGGAGAGAGGAGAAGAGAGGGAGAGAGGAAAAGAGAGCGCTCCGTGTCAACGGAACACTTTTTGCAAACTGCAAATTGCGAATCTCTGGGTGAAACAATGACAATCTCACACTGCCGACATGTTTTTTTGTTTTCTTTAGTTAATGTTTTTTTTATATATAAATGAACTACGGGTGCCGCAGATGTTATGACGGAACGCGAGACATCGGCGCCTAAATAGGGCGAACATCGTCCCTCTGGCCGATGTATCGGTGCATCCCTAGTTCACTCAGGAGAGACGTGATGTATGGAATACATGTTTATTATCGGGTCACATTATATAAATGAACATAATGATGACAGTTTGTAGCAAGTGAATGAAATAGTGTTTTGGCGATTAGGCCCAGGTTTGGTAGGATGTCATTCGGGAAGGAAAGAACCGTTTCCGATGAACCCCCCTGGGTCTAGACACTGGTGGTGGTGATAAGTGGTTAGGTCCGGTTGGAAGGGAGAAGGTTAAGCTTGGTCCTGAGTTGGAAGCAGGAGGCGAAGGGGTGGAGGAGGGTTGCGCGTTGACACCTGGAAGACAGCTGATAGAAGAGGGGAGAGCATATATAGAGGGATTACCAGGTGCGATGATTAGGCTTGTGAATAGAGGGACGTGATAGGTTTGCTGAGGAGTGGCGCTCCCTATCCTTAAGTGAAGGGAGCGAGTATTGCCATGACGTGCAATACGAAGTGATAGGTCTTCCTGTCTGAACTTGCGCTGAGCTTCATTTCACTCAGGAGAGACGTGATGTATGGAATACATGTTTATTATCGGGTCACATTATATAAATGAACATAATGATGACAGTTTGTAGCAAGTGAATGAAATAGTGTTTTGGCGATTAGGCCCAGGTTT